TTGCTCTTTTTGCTGGTTCATTCTATTTCTGAGTTTCTTGCCAGCACAGCAAGCCCGTTCAAACGATACGAACCATGAGTGAGCGCCCGCCACCCCGCGCGAGAGAGACAATGGGGAAAGATGGGAATGCCGATGAAGCGCGGGTTGCGCGGGGTGGCCTGTCATCGTTCGTCTAGAGAGCTTCATGAATCCTGCAAGTTGCTTATTGAAACTCTGATTTGCGAGCCTTACCGCTCCTAGTAGGGCTACGTGTGACGTGAATGGCACACCCTGCGTCGGGTAGGTCGGAGCCGTGATGACGAGCTGAAGATTTACATCATTTCGAGAAACTCGAGAATAATCTCTTTCACTCGCTTCATTTGACGTAGCCAGCCGATCGACCAACGCATTCGGGCATTCATACTTACGGCACTTCGTATGGTCAGGTCGTACCACTCTCCGTCTTTTCTCTTATCTCGGGGGTTGGTTTTCTCTCATGATCCTAGCTCCTCAACCGGGCACTAAAGTTTTCCTCGTATTAATTGAGCTGCCTCGGGAAGTGAAGATCATCTGCACTCCAAGACGGCGAACCCTATTGGAGGGGACTACGGATACCTCGTCGACAACGCCAGACCACCCCGCCCTTGGAAAGTCTGGGGATGATGGTCTGTTCATTGTTTGCCGGTCCACCCGAGATCGTGTCCACCTTGGATCACGCTGGCTGTCTCTGTGAGCTTCAGATGCCATGAGACGAACACATCAGGAATACAACTTGAACCTTCTACTTCTCTGGAGTCTGCATTGAAGTCTAAAGCAACATGGGGTAAAGTGACAAGTGATGACCGGTCCTATTCGTTACTCAGCGACTACAGCAACCAGGACATAGTTCCAAAGACTTCCAGAGTTCCAACTAACTGCCATTGATCATGCGCAGTAGACAAACGTGATATGAGAGCTCGCGTAAGCAGACCATTTGCTACACGATTCTAACATGTAACGCATGACAAGTTTACGAATCTAAAGGGAGAATTGGCGGTCCAAAGCAAACATGCTTGGCAATCGAGGAGTCATTGCTAGGTATCTTGAGATCAAGATCTTGAGCCATGTGGCGGCCTTAGAGATGGATGACATGTCATCCGATGCAACCATAAGATAGCACAGACACACGGGCTGGCTGTTCTGATGTCGACGTGCGTTCCCAAATCTGTGGAGAGAACTCCCATGATGTAACTGGGGTGAGCTAGAGAGGTCTGTCTGAGCGCAAGTACGTGATTTCTGATTCATCTACTACATAGCTGCAGAAACATGTCGTCAGCAACCAATGCTTTGTTTGACTTCCATAGACTAGACGATTAGCGTCTTCCCTTCCAAATGGTGTAGTCCCAGTCTTTACGTGGACAAGATAACGAAAGTGTGGGTGAATTTTGATCGTTGAGTCTTTTATCTCATCGTCGTGTCACACCAAGTACTCGTCAAGTTGAAGTGTGTGTAGTCTAGCGGTCTGGGCCAGCCTGGTCTCATGATGTCAGCCACAGACCTATCTTTGGAAACTCTGGGCGTCAGACACGTGCTTCCCAAGTCACTTTGCCTGCCGTCATGGCTTTGCAGTGAGTCAAAGAGGCGCATGTGAGTTTCACAGGGTCTCAAAATCGACTTCGTACACATGTCACTGCACACGGGTGACGAAGAAATGAGTGTCAGACTACGTTCCTCATCGAGAAGCCTGAACCAGTCGAAATTGAATTTTTACATTGAATCTTAGCCAACTCATGAAGTCTAGACTTTGTCACAGGTTACCTGATTCCTGGAAAGCCACGCGGATCAGACTCAGGTTTTGTTGTTTTGTCTGGAATATCGCAGAAAGAATCTACAGCGTCCATGAGTCAATTGTTTTCTTATTCGACTCGGTGCCACCAAGAGGCGTTCGAGGCGTTCGTTTCCGTCTTCTACATAGCTCCATGGGCTCTTCGCCAAAGTTCCAGTTCTGTTCTCAAAGGCTTTCTGATTTTGGTACGCACAGCTAAACATCAGTGCTGAATGTCGTGTTTTCTTGTGCGTTTGTCTTGTGTAAAACTATTCTTAAATTATAGAGGACACTCGACATGGACCCTTTAAGTAAAAAAGTATCAAAGGTGCATTCATGACTGCTCCATAATCGGAACCGTTGGTTATTGAATGCTCTTCGAATGCTTGTTAGCATATTGATCTCTAAGCATCGATGCCCAAGTTTTGGTTTATCGCTGGCATTCTGAATTCGAATCTTGAAGATATACAGGCTACCATGCTGTCTGGCAAGAAATGGGGCAGATGCGAGGCAATCAACATGGAGTCTTCATTCACTCAATAGTGGCTACTGTTAAAGAGAAAACTAATTGCCTTCGAATCTGTTCCCCCCTTTACGGATACACAACTGCGCGCGCTTTGACTTGGAAAGTCGCGAACAATGCATGACTCGTCCATTCAACAAGAACGCTCCATATCTCGCAATATCTCAGGGGAAGGGAAGGATTCTATTACCCAGAGTCTGAAGTATAGAGAGCCCGGAACTTTATTGGAGCTTGGGCTCCATCGCATCCTTGGCAAACATCCGATCTGCTTGAGCCCTGGAGGATGTGCCGTCAAGGTGCTTTGCTGGGACCCACTGAGAGGGTTTTCTGGAAAAGGGCCAGAGCTGAAGTGGAAGATAGGAGCTAGTATCCGTAATTATAGGATAAAGATCTCCTGGTAAAAGGGAAAGTGCAGGAACATCTAGGTATCTTGCTGCTTCTCTGGTTGAAGACATCGTGAGTTGACCTTTCAGTGACCCTGGGTTTCTAAAGCTTGTCTATCAAGCTCAAGCTGCCATAGCCATGTGAATTTGCTACATGAACCTCATGGTCACATCATTATCAATCTTGGTTATGAACTATAGCTGTACATAATCTAAAAGTTCGTGCCTCGATTTCACAGATCACCAGCTTAGATTGTCCTACTTTGTCAAGTCTAGATGCATCCTATCCTGCATATTCTTAACGTGATACAACACTGTGGAACTGTTAGAGAAATAGGCATCGTCAAGTGGAAGTTGGCAGAATATGACGATCTGAATCGGGATTTCCAACTTGGTGATGGACTCATTTAGCCAGTGGCGACAAAAACCTCTAGCGGAGAGCACATGTATCTGTGTTTCAATGAAAAGCTCCAGAACTCTGCGATCCGAACTACCAGGATGCTCACAAGCTGAGTCGCTTTACGCCATCTTCTATCCGCGTCTCGTTATGACTTTATACGATAAGTTCTTGCTCCTTGACATTGTCAAGATATTGATTTGGAGCTTATGTAGAACCTATTCCCCCGGATCCTATGTCACTAGCCGGAGCACCTCAGCCTCAAGTAGACGACAAGATAGACTAATGTACATCAGCCTTTTTAAGAAAATGATCAGAAATAGGATCCAATTTCTGGGCATCTTCTCCGCATTTTATGACATTCGAAAAGCTTATGAAGAGTGAGGTATCTTAGTATGAGTGATGCGTAACAATCCTACTGATAAGAATGTTGTTAATTGACAATTGGGAGCTTGGGATGTGTTGATCACCCGATCACTTTGCTATCCACTTAAGCACTCACCAGAAAGGTTCGAGGTGAGTTAAGAGTATTTAGGTGGTAATGTGTGGAGCTCAGAATCGAGATGATTGTGCTATTCAACTCACCTGGACGACTTTCTAAGAAATGCCTGAGGGAAGACAGCCAGCTGACTAAAGATAAGACAACGCTGATACTCGCGGTTCATGATAACTCAAGGCCGGTATTTCACATCTACAAAAACTCATGAGCAACGTTGATGTTCGAACTCCCCCCTACGAGTTGCAGACCAACACATCACAACAAGTCCACAATGAACCAGCTGCGCGAAGCATCTGGACCGTCTACTCCGTTAATGTCCAAAGGTGTGCAAGTGCTTTTTCAAGTTCATTAGAATTTTCATCGCATCGACTGCAGTCTTAACGTCCAATATAATAGTACATGAGCACCAAGTTTGTGACCAAACATGCCCGTCACTTGAGTCCAGACCTCCTACCTTGTAGTCGATGACAAGCCTTTCAGACAGGAAAAGAACAGCCCAGACGTGTATTCAAAACTCGGCTATGGACATAGATAAGAACATAGCAAGAGTTGACTTCCATGAACGCATGCAAATCACGGTCCACGAAGTCATCAAATGATCGGCATTTAGAAAAGTAGGCACGACTTGAAACATCTCAAGCTTGATGACCATCTTGTTTGACACCTTTGCGTTTCGAATTGTAACATATCTCATGTAAAGACTCAGATCTATAGGCTTATTTAATTCATCACTTCGAATTTTAACAGTTTAATCAGGGAGGAATGGAAGCGTAGAAAACTAGCAATGAGCCCTCGGGGATGAGAGGCTTTGCAGTGTATTTTCCATGGGCGTTATAGACATACCACCTCCGCAATATTCGTCGACTTCGAGGGATTGCTCTATGAACGAACCCCTTCGTGCGGACCACTCCAATATGGCGGGATGAAACGGTAAGATACACCAGACCTATTAGAAGCTGATATAGCCAACGAGGCCGCCATGGTCTTAATAATCTCATGACTTCCTCGAAGTAGAAAGCCAACAAAAAACTCCCCCATCGCCCGCTGTAGCCGAAATGTGATGACGACATGCCAAAGCCGAAGCTACCTCCCGCTGTCCGTAGACCCCAAAGCCCACCGAGAGATCTCCAAACCGATGCAGTGCCGTTGTTTTGATGATGATGATGATGATAATGATGCCAGCCCGCCGGCTGAACCCTTTGATGCAATGCCCCAGTGACACCGAAGCACATCCAATGTGGGAAAGGAGGCGTCCAATCCCAGGAAAATCAAAAACACAAATCTAAAAAAAAACCCTACGTCGCCTTTATCGGTATGCGGTGATCGGTGATCTCATGCGTACTCGTCGCCTCGCTCGTTTCGTGTCGTCAGTCTTGCTTCGTGCTCTTGATTCTTTTCCTTCATAAATTTGCCACTCATGGCTTCGGCGCGTCGAGCGGTTTTCTTCCATAGACTGTCCTGTGGTTCAGATAGGAGTGGAAGTCCCTTTCCTTGACGTGCGACCGTACGTCCAACAAGAACATCTCGATCTGTATCTCGGTCCATCCCAGGGCTCTGAAAGGCCTTGTCGCCAGACCCTTGAGACCTTCCAAGATGGTTTCCCGCATCAATATGCCACACTCGCGCAGCTCAGGCCTTGCTGGCCAGTCGCCGATGGGACATTTCCTCCTGTCCTCTTCCACGTTCTCGAAACCAGCGGCCCGCATCTCATCGGCGGCGGCGCGAATTCCATGCATTTCTGATCCAAGCACTCTTAATCCCGCGTCGAGGTACTGCGTGAAGACTCGGAAGCCGTACCCATCTCCGTCTGGGCAGGACTGGTCGTCGCACAAAGGAAAGAACTCGAGTTCTTGTATTTCAAACCAACCACCAGGCTTGAGGTGCCTACGAGAGTTCAGTCTCTTGTCTTCAGGTAGTATTGTTCGATAGCTTGAGGAGGGGATGTGAAAATGAGATGAGGAGTTTACCTATAGGCGCGTTGCATGAGATCGTTGCGATCGCGAATGGAGTGCAGGGTATGTCGCAGATGGATGAAATCAAAGTACTCTTCGTCTAGATCCCATCCATTTTCGTGTTCAATATCGTCGACCATGAAGTGACAGTTGGGAGGCACTTCACTTGGCTGAATCGGAGATAAATCGATGCCGAGAAACGTAGAGTTGGGATGCATATCGGCGACTACGGGGTCACATGTAAGTTTGACCGCTTATCATAAACGTAGCGAGATCGTAATGGTGTGAGAAGAACGGTGTGAAAGTGAATCATATGACGGCAAATGAAAGCGTCTTGAGGACTTGGAACTTACGTTCAATAGGCCAGTGACCGGGTCCAGTTCCTGTGAAGAATGGTGTTAACTCACTGCGATTCACAGCATATCCTAAGATGCAAACAAACGGCTCGGTGATGACGTCGCAAGATTCTGGCGTTGTTCTCTTCATTGCCGAGGCATCATGAACAACGTTGTGATGATTCTTGCAGAGGAAAGCGTTCATAACGTGGCGGCAGGTATTCGCCACGATGATCTCAAGTACGTCACCACCATGGTGCCTCACATGAAAAGCTTTCACATACCCAGATCCAGGACTTCGGCGCCTCTTGCCATCAGGTCATCGACAGGGGAAAAGAAGTACCTCCCACTCAGCTCAATGCTGATGATGTGCTTCATCTCGTCGCGGTCCTGCTCAATAGCATCGTTGGGAAATGCATAACGTCCTGCGCGGTAGGCGTGATATCGTAGTCGGTTCTCGTACATGTGCTCTCTCACACTGTCGGTCAAGCTCTCGGTGTCGTACTCATCGCCATTATGAGAACCGACAGTGATAGCTGTATCGGTGGAACCGGGCGGTGACATGACGGCCGGGCCTGAGGTTGCCGGAGAAGGGGGGCCGCCGAGTTTAAGCCGCTTTTCGGGGGGTTCTTGGTCTGAAGGCGGGCCGCGAGCGGACTTCACCAAGAGATCTCTCAGTTGTTCTTCGCGTAATGAGTTTGGCGGCGAATTCATTGTGGACGTGAATTATCTGCTTGTTGCGCTTCGTACCCGACAGACGCCAGCCTGAGTCAAATGTTCGAACCTAAGCGTACACGAACTTGACTGTCGTCGGGCGTGGAGAAAGGTCCTCGGCGACGGGCGCCTGACTTGTCGGGAAGTTGATGGCAATGCGAATTGGCAATGCGAAGCGATCCCAATCCAAAACCTTGGCTTTCTCAACGTCAGAGAGCTTTCCAGGGATGGAAAATTCTAACCAGGGACCCCTCCACCAAGACCAAAATGCCGGCGATGACGTCCCAGGTTGGCAGCCAGGCTTGTCTGTTTCCAACTGTCAGATCAGAAAAGTCCCGAAGCGGCGTGCGGCGTGGGGAGCGGTCGAACCGCTTGTGGATAGAGAGATAATCAGGATAGGGAAGATGTTGGACGAAAACGTCGGTTTGTTTGGAGGTGTGGAAGCGGGGAGGCGAGAACGAATGATGGGAAAGCAAACTTTGCGCTGCCTGTCTTGGAGAAGAGGAGGATACTGACAGGGGAAAAAGGAATAGGAAACCACTGGAGCGGATGACAAGGAGGGACCCGAGACAATGGAAGAGGGTTATTTGGGGTTGGTGTGCGTGCGCTTTGTTCGGGACGAGATAAATCGCGGACGCGAGCAGCGAAGGGAAGGATGGGAGGTAAGGGGATCAGGGATCGACTTCAACAACTGTTTGTTCGGGAATTCTGGCATGTCTTGCGACGGGACAGGCTTGGTGTTAAGAGAGAAAGGGTATGGTGGTTTGGACGGCTCGGCATCAACTTTGACATGGCCCGTGAGGGTGCCTCAGAAATCTGAATGACTTCCTCGACTGGGGGGAAACGAGAAGGGGGTCGTCCCATAGACTAAGAAAAGTCGCCAAGGTACGTACTAGCAAGGTAGCCCGGTACCAGAGAAGGCGGCGGATGGCGGACAGGCTGAGAATGAGATGGTGTTTGTGGATGACCTTTTGGTATCAGGGGTGGGGGATTCAGGCTTCGTCTAGAGCTATGTAACCTGCAACCTGTCTAGCAAACTTCGACCGTCGACTAGCGTCCGTCTAGAAGAGCGGTGTTCAAGTCTGACGCGACAAGACTTTGTGTGCTCTCGGCGGTCGTCGTCGTCGTGGCTGGGGTGTGAACAGCGACGATTCGACGCAACGGAATGTGGTGAGATCGGGTTGTTCGCCGAATGCCCTGTGCGGGGAAAGAGGTTGTCGACCCTGGGAGGTATCTCGAATCCTTCAAGTTGACAGGTGATCGATAGCTCAACAACGCTCCCGGTAGATCGAGGCAAGACTGGGAGACAAGGTCGCAAGATAAGTCGCAGAAGGAATCCTGGGCTGGTAAGTGATGACGTGGGGAATCTCGAGGGCCCGACAGTATGGCAACGTTGAAGAACACGATGGTGAAAGCAAAGGTGAAAAGGGAGCGATTATGTATGTGTTTGGTGTCAGTGGTCCGAAGGCAAGGGACAATGAGTGCGAGAGAGAGAGGCAGGCAACAGAATGTAGACTTGAAGGAAGCATGGATGTTCGAGTATGGACGATTGGCAAGGTCCAGGTCTTTACAGCTCCGCGTCCCGTCCCTGCACGGGTCGCTGTGGCCCTCTCTCTCTCTGTCACTCTTGCTCTCAGGAAGTACGGAAGTGAACCTACTAGACACTAAGGCAGGGAAGGAAAAGTACATGAGGGTCGATGGGTCAAGGGAATGTACATTGCTTCGCCCAGGTACAAGTGGGAGAGTGGCACTTGCGCTCTGCTCTGCTCTGCTTCGATACCTACCTCAGATGCTACAGCAAGGCTTGGATGACTTATACTTGCAGGGGCGGGTAATGCTTTCCCGCTCGATACCCGGGCTGTGGTTCTCTGCAGGCCAGGGTTAATGATGGTCGCTGCCTGACAACTAAATGACTATATTTTTTTTGATGACTTTACAGCTTCACGAGGACGATAAAGATGAAGATGAATAGGAAGATGAGAGAGAGAGAGCTCAAGGAGTGTGTGAACCTGTCCTTGGCAATGTTTGGCACCAAGCGAGCTTACCATGCTTACTGCGCAAGACAAGACAGTCTCGACAGCTCTAATGAGCTAGCGAGCTACCCATAGGCAAGTTGTCTCGAATTTGGTTAGCTCGTCAGCCGCCTACTGTTCCTCGAGTGTGCCTAACGCCCATCAATCTGCCCCTGGGGCCTGGGGGGGGGGGGGGGGGGCCCGGGGGGGGGGTTTTGGGGGGGGGGGGGGTGGGGGGTTTCCCCCATTAAGAAGCGGGGGGGGGGAAAGGAAAAAAAACAGGGGGGAGAAAAAAAAACACAGCCCCCGGTGGGGGGGGGGCGGGGCCGCCAAGGGGGGGGGGGGGGGGGGGGGGGGGGGGGGGCACTGGGGTGTGTGTTTGTGTGTGAGTGTGTGTGTGAGTGTCTCCCATTCAGATACGACGGGCTGAGCAAGGAACGAAACAGGCAGGGTACAACATACAGACCTGGCCACTGTCAGTGGGGTGGCTGCGCACATCAGTGGTGCGGGCAGCGGGAGAGGAGGGTAAGGGCATCGGCGTCGGAGGGGAGGGGAAGGAATCCTTCAAAACAAGCTGTCGGGTCAGACCTGAAGACGTAGGGACCCGGGAATGAGGAACGAAGGCGTCGTGATGGACCTATGATTGGCTCAAGTCAGGGATTTGGGGGATGAAGCATGTCTGTTTTGCACCAGAATTGGCATCACCCTGCCGTTGCGTCTATACTGGGTATGTAGTACAAGCACAGCGCATACATACACAATGAATACAGCAGCGGGATAGGCAGGAGGCACGACGGGAAGAAGAGACACGAACGTGGCCCCATGTGGGAGAGCACATGGTCCGTCACAACATCAGCTCATTGAATCAGTATAAGACATGCTTCACGGCGATTCTCCCGTCCGTCTGCTCGTGCAGCACGAGATAGGATATGATGGGCCGTGACCAAAAGGATGATGGGAAGAAAAAGTGAACATCGTGAGGGGAACACAGGAAAAGGGTTCAAAAGAGGGGATGGAGGGGGGAAACTAGTGTAAACAGTCTGGAAGTGGGATTCGGTGAGGTTGTAGCTGAAGTGGAGGGGTGCAAGGCACGTTGGGGTTAAGGTAAGGTGACTTTTTGCGATAGGGCATCCGTACTACCCCAAGAGTCAAGACAACGCCGGAATGGTTCTTAGGTTTTGAAGATCGAGGAAGAAGAGGGGGGGTTCTTGCGAGCACTTCCGGGTCCTCTTGTCCTTGTGAGGTTGCCAAAGTGCAGCTCCGAGAAACAATCCCAATGTGCTGTGCGCTGGCAGACGTGGCTTGCCTTAGGGCTGCGACCATGGCCGCGGTGCCGTGGTGCCACGGCAGATGGGCGAGTCAGGAGCCGTCAAACCCCTTAATGAGAACGGGTGATGATGTGCGGCAGTAGGGCTCCTTTTCGAACCGGAACGGTAAGCGCATGTTGTATCTGAGAGATAGCCGTTCACCGAGTGGAGAGATATCCATTGCCAGCCGCGATGCTCTGTACATATCCGTACAGAGTACAGAGTATCCTTACTCTTGTAGGCAAACGGATGTGAGCCAAGACGATGCGTGCGTAATGAGCGGAGCGTCTACATGGTGGCATAATGGAGACTGGACATGAATCTGCATGTGCTTCGTGTATGCGCAGTGTCAAGACTCGGGAGGTAGACCGATAGTCGAGAGAGAAGGATATGAGATAGGGCGAGATAGCAACGGGAAAGAGGAGCCGGAGGCAGACTCTGAGAAGCACATGATGAGGCGTGGCCAGTCGTGATGCCAATGAATGTCGACATGTTCTGTACTGAAGAGGGGCAACTGGAGCTGCTGATGGGGAACTCTCCTGCGGACGTCCATCGACCTGCTTGCTATGCGGATTATCGTCGGAGGGAAGTCCTTCAAGACTAACCTGCGCAACGATGACCCAGGACTGCTGCTGCTACGGCTAGGACATCCTCCTGTACCGTACTTACTGTGTACTTAACTAGGCGCAGACGTACGGAGTAGGGGGCCCGCCGACCCAAGGGAATGGGAACATGAGTTCCTCTAGCAGCAGCAGCGCAGCAGAAGCAAAGCAGACGCAAAGCAAGTGCCCTGCCCTGCTCGCCTCGCCTACACTCTACTATGTACCCTTAGCTGCTCTGCTGCACTGGGAGGAGCTGCGGATGGGAGGAGCACCAGGAGTAACCTCGACCTGGAACGTGCAGCGTCCCGGCCGCCTCTCTGCCCCCCTTCTCGTGGATCCGGGCAGGCAAGGCAAGCCGCAAAGGCAAAGACAAGGCGGAAGTACCTGCGGGTGTCGAGGTACATCGATCACCTGTTGACTACTGTTCTCTCTCTCTCTCTCTCTCTCTCTTCCTCTCCCTTCTGGTCCAAGGCCCTCACCCCCTCCCCAGCCCTCCCAACTCCCAGTCAGTGTCAGTGTCACTCACTTCCCTGGGGCCCTTGGCTCGGACGTTTCCATGGTACAGGGCATGCTTATCTAATCCACTTCCATTCTCCACTTGTGTTGGACAGGTACAAGCTCATTTTCAAAGCCCGGAACCGGCAGGGCCCCCAAGACGAATCGAGGATTTTCGCAGGGAAATCAAAGTTGACGGAGAGTTCCGCAATAATCATCTCGACGACTCTAAGTCTATCTCGGTAGATGTCACGAGTCTAGGACTTTCTGGTCTGCGATGCTATCAGTACGTCTGTCAAAAGGCCTGCCCATCACTCTAGTAGTGTCGGCACCTTCGCGTCTGACCAAGTCTTGGCCTTCGTTCACTTCGCCATGCCATTCGACCTTGTGGCAGATTTCGATGGAGCCCGCAAAGGATCAACACCTCGTCAATGAACTCTATTCTGTCTCGAACCAAGCTGCTGGGATGAAGCGCCATGAACCTGCAACAAGCGGCCGACAGTACAGTCAAACCACCTGCCCGAGAGAAGGGGAGCTCTTGGCAAACGTAGCACCCCACGAAGAGTCAAGACTCAAGACCCAAGACCCAAGAAGCTCAAGAGTTGGGACAAAGAGCACGGAGCACAGAGCGCCGAAGCTCGGTCGAAACTGAAGGCCGGGGCCGTCGACCCGTCGGTACCGTCAAGATGGCCGACCGTCTGACGGTCATGTTTTGCGGCTCTTCGGTTTCTGATGGGGACCCCCGTCTCTGAAGTCTCCAGCAAGATCGAGCCCAGAAAAGATCACACAGATGCATCCGTTGAACTATGGGCCCGCAGAGATTGCGCGAGATTGCGCGATGTCCCGAAGAAGAAGAAGAAGAAGCATACCACTATCGCTGGACCCCACGAAGCCCATCAACCCATAGGCAAAGATCTGGATGGGCCACAGCAAACGAACTTGAGATGATCGATATCATTCCACTTCTCGTGCGGCAGGATTCTCTGCCCAAAGCTGCCAGTGTTTTTCTGCCCACCGACTTCCCCCGACACATTGACCGAGTGCCGAAGCTTAGCAGTCCAGTCCGTTGGGAAGGGAAGAAAAGCAAGAAAATGTTTCGACAACTTGGCGGCCTTTCACTCAGCTGTCAGTGTCACAGTCCTATGTCCGTGACCAAGTCCACCAGCAAGGACCATCCATACTTTCCGTCGCCCATCAAACGGGCGCAAAGTCCGCACTACCATGGTAAAGGAAGGCCGCTCAGTGATCAATCATTCGAGCAGTATGAGGAAAGCCTCACTTCTGACTCTTCCAGGGTTGCTTTCAGAGGTACATGCTGACAGCGTTGACGCTTGACGGATGCTACAATGGCACAGTTCAAGCATACCGATGAGCAGAGCAGGGCAAGGTTTGGAGGTCTTGGCTCCCGAGAAGTGGTCACTGGCAGTCGTTGACGAGAAACCCATGTCCATGCTCCCGGACCCGGGCTGCCCCTCCTCGTCGGCGCTGCTTGGGTCTTCCCCTCCTCCTCCCAATCCAGCAGAGCGCTGCCCACAATTGCTCAAGTCTTTGTCAGATCTCACAAAAAACCTTGCAGCAGCGGTTACGGTCAGAGAGGGTGGAGGGAAGAAGCGTCGCCGTCTGGTCCGTTTGTCCTGCATCGAGCTCAATCCGTCGATTCGACTGGAGAGAGGAGAAAAAAAGTAAATATGAAGCTTTTCTCTAGCCACGAAGATTCTGGGAAGCCCAGGTTTTGCTTGGGTGGCCTTTCCTCTGCTCCGTGGAATTCTCCCCCTCATCTTAACGTTCCACACAAAGCATGCGTCAAACCTGACAGCCCGTAACTCAAGTATGACCTGATAGTCACCCGCCACATGGAGGTTACGTTCGGAGAAAAACACGAGACCCAGCACGTTTAAAGAGACTTCAATCTGCACTAGAGCATATCCCGTCCGTTACGAGTGTGTGTGTGCGTACGGATACCTACCGTACAGAGAGAGGTACGGAGAATAGGTGCGAAGTGAGCGCCGGAAGAACACACTACCCAAAGAAAGAGTGGGACTTTAGATTTCGGGATTTGAACTTGTCCCTTCTGTGGGGGCTGAGACCCAGATTGTCCTTCTTGGCGGTACAGGGAGGGTCGAGGAATCGAATGGGTTTTGGTGGGATACTCAAAGGGGGCATGCCGAGGTCGAGAGGAGAGCAGACGGGTACATGGACAGTACTTGACTCTGCTTCCTTCTCCTTGACGTTATCCATGTTTCTCTGTCATGGAGGAAATGTCACAGCCTGGTATCCCAACACCCCTTTCGCTCCCTGTTCCTTGGATCCTCTTTCCCCTTCGCCCACTGTTAGTACTGCTAGACACCCCCTAGACGGAAAGGGACATGAGACGGATAAAGCGCTGCAACTCTACGAATACAGAGTACTTGGTCTGCACGCCTTCAACGGACAACAGGGCAGCTAGGGGCCCCAGCCATCGTTGTGGATGTTCCCAGAGGAATGGCACGCTGGGCCGGGACTCGGGAGGAAGCTTTTCTTGGGAGAAGGGGGGCCGGCCCATCGAGGTCACTCTCTCCGAGTCTATCGGATCCGCATGTATTCTGTAATTCACTGGCTAGGAGATGTTGACGTTTACGAGAGGAGCAGCTGATTTATCCCTCAAAGACTTGCTCAGTATTAGTTATGGTCAGACGTATTCTATTGTGAAACCAGAGACTTTGCAAGCTCCTCACAACCAAGGAATCTGAATTCAATAACTCAGCGACTTCATGCATCCGATAGAATGCTGGCATTGGTAAGCGGCAAAGTCCATGGAGGGGGCTTCGATTGTGTTTCTTTCCAACCAAAAGTCCTTCCTTTGCAGCGAAGATCGCATGCCTCTACGCCGCTCGTCACTCGGCAGTCGGCAGTCGCATCGTTCTAGCCTTTCAGGTGAGTGGTCGTTTCTCCAATAGTCCAATCCTTTTCCTATCTACACCTGGCGTACTGCATCCAGGGCCCACGCAAAATTTGATACTTCAAAGTTCAGAGTTCTCTCTCTAGTACTGATACAAACCGGAGTACGGAAAGCGATCATGGCTATACCATCCTATCCATCCATGCAAGTAGCTTTGATATTACACGTCGTGACTTCCCGCGCCATGCAAGCGATTGCCATTCCATTGCATTATTACAACCCGTTGAATACCACGCTCGGATGCGACCTCCCGGATCCCAAACGGAGCCATCCCCATGACCAACAACAACCCCCGTCTTTACCCATCTGTTGTCACTCACATCGACATCCCGTTCATCGGCCGACACAGGGCGACATCGTCTTGTCTCGTCTAATATGGCGTCGACCCAATGGCAGTTCTTGCAACTGTAAGTCCCCGGCTTGACCGCCGGCCGTTGTTGCGTCTGGGTGCCGCCAAGGCAAACTCCGCGACTCTCGCGATTCGTCCCTGTTTCCCCTCCAGGGCATATCATTTCGGTCCCGTCTTCTTCGCCCACCCGATCCTCAGCATCTACTTACCGTCCGGAGCGAACGGGCGTTCGGTCGTCTTGCTAGCACCGGGAATAACGACCACTGCAGATCTCCGTCAGCTCATTTCACATTTTTGCCTTCGCACCGTCGGCTTCAGATCAACTCTCCTATCCACCCTGGATGGGACAAGAGACTGGAAATCATGAGATGACCCAGACAGCCAAATCAAATCAGGACCAGACGGTACTGAGATGGATGGCAAGCTGCGACGCTCTAATCCAACTGTGAGGTTCATATGATCTCTTAGCGTCCCGGGCGTCCGCAGCTTTTCGACTCGTGCCTGCTGGTCCGTGGTTCAGCCTAAGCCTCTCTCTCTCCCGCAGTAGGGAGGATCAGAGTCAGTTGCGCTACTTTGGCCCTAGTTTGCGCCCCCATTGTGTCAACTCATCTCTTGTCGCCATCGCGGATCTTGATTCGTAGAGCATGGCCGTGGCATGTCACAACGTGGTCGACAATGTGTAATTAGCAAAGCCATCTTTTCTTTGGAATCCCATCCCAGGCGAAACAAAAGGCCTAAGCTACCTTAGCTGCTTAGTCTCAGCCCCCCTCCCTTCCCCTCGAATCCAAAGAGACAAAATGTGCTCGTCCAAGGGGACCTCTGAGATGGAACTACGTGCTAGTCACCGCCCGTGAGCCGGGGTCCCGAGCAAGTTCCATGGCATTGGACGCGACGATCTGAAGCCATTGCTTTTTGGCCTGGACTTTGACTGTCGATCGCCAACCACTACCGGGTCTAACACTGCGCTTTCTCCCAATAACCACGACTAAGGCGGTCAAACATCGTAGCCGCCGTCTCACACCCATACGTGCTAGACAGCCTCGAACGCTGAATACCGATTACTGAACATTACCATATGTACTAAAAACCATCGGAATGGTCTCGCACCAATTGCGATACCATTTACATTACAGCATATTAGGGCAACACGATATTTCGGCCGTACAAGCGCAAGCGCACGCGGTTTACTCTGCTCTGGCCGCATGCCACCCGATTTCGTTACCAGATAGGCTCTTTTGCGTGCTTATCCCACAAAGTTTGATGACCCGACGACACAGCCATCATACCTGTCTGGCACAAGCTTACAGACACGTAAGGACATACATGTCTCCATGCTCAGCCGAGCTGCAACCTCTTTAACCCCTCTGGTCCAACAGGTTCCAAAACGCCACTAGCAAATCAACCCAAATTGGCGCAATGAAGATCTTCGGAATCATCGGGCACTACCAAGGAGTTTTTGGGCCGAGGGATCTCTCTCCCGAACTTTACAAATCTTACCAGACCCTTATCCTCGGAACATGAGCAAATGCACAGCATGACGACGGAAGGGGGGAACCGCGATGCTTGTGACAAACGCACGTCAAGCTACAAACGGGCTCAGCCTACGTATATGCGCGCACCATGTAGACATGACTCAAACCACAGGCGAGACAAGATCAACGTTGGCTATTCCCAAGCCTCACTCAATGCATTGCCCTCGCTCTCGCGCTGAGCAACGCCCGGTCCCGACATCATGCCGCAGAGGCGCATAGTAACTGCATCTCTTTCTACGGATACCTCTTCGACGCTCACCGCATTTGGCGACGTGTGTGCGCGCGGTCCCAATCGAAGGGCTATTGGGTGGTTCCTTGTCTTGTGCCTGCAGTTACGGGCCACTATCCCCTCTGTCGGGTTACCTGTAGGCTGTCTGCAGATTGTTGTGTATGTGTGTTTGTGTGTGTGCGTGTGTGTGTGCTGCTTTCTCTCTCATATCAACGGACGGCTTGGCTGCTTGAATCCTTCGGGTTTCGCAGCCTGTCAAAGGTCTCCAGAACGGTGGATCGCATATCCGTCCGTACAGCTGTGGTCCTGGCTGGCTGGGGTCTATCCAGCATCTGGTGCTGGGCAAAGGAAGCCGGCCGGCAAAGTGTTTGTCAAAGTTACCCCTGTCGTTCTTCTCGTCTTTCCGTGCTGCCGCGCCCGCGCAGTGCGCGCAAGTTGCGCACCCACGATGCCCAGGACCGCACTAAGCACCTGCCTCAATACTTATGGTCGAGCGGGGGTTTCCTCACGATCATCTTGGTGGACGTACGTATCGAGTAGGAAATGAGGCCATGGCTGCTTCTCAGAGTCGTATTCGATGTGTGTGTACGGTGGCTCTCGGCAAGCCGTTCCACTCCGACAACTTTCTGGATCGAAGCTGCTCCCCCCCACGATATTGCAAATGACATCGACCCAAGGCGGGCATACACGTTTCTCAGGCTCTGCTCTCCTCGCAGAAGCATCTCCATCATAGGCTTGGTCTCTCGGGGATGGTTCGTTCAGACAGCAGCTTCCCGTCATAAGCTGTGCTGCCTGTCATCTCTTTTTCACATTAACCGGACGTAGGGTACGCTATCCACCGACCTAACGGATGATGGCTGAAGTGCCGTCCAGTCCTTTTTATCCAACAGGACGGCACACCAAAAACGCCACAGCTCTGCCTCTCGGGTCTGGCCTTCCATCTCTGCGTCTCGCTGCCCTCAACATCCATTCATTCATCGCGAACCCCCCTTTCCCCGAGTGGGTTATTGTTCCCAACCGAGTGGTCCCCCTTGGACCTGCACCTGCAAGCGATCCCGAGGCGAGCAGTACCGTGCCAACGCACTGGCGAGACTCTTCCCGCTTGTGCCGCTCGATTGGGATGACTCCATTCAAGCAGAGACGGACGAACATGGCGGGACCTACTTCGTACGTATCCCGTAGTGCAATGACCTTAGTGCCTCCATTCCGAGTTGTGGAGGCGTGCCGCCATCTAGGTGGGGTTTTTGGTCAGAATGTTTGCTGCTTCCGCGCATTGTGCGACATGCAGATGACATCAAACGGCCGCAATTACGCGCGCGACTTGGAACCTGGCGTGAGTGAATCTTTTGGACGCAATGGTATCCTGACTTGTTCATTGCAACACAAGAGATAACACCGAATAGGAACGTGGCCGGCTGAAGGAGAACCTCCACAAACCGTCACGATAATCTGCCACAGTCGTATTCCATCCAGCCATGTCCTGGCAGTGACCCATCCCATGGGTGTGTGACATGTAGGTATGGCCATGCACCTCGTGACCGTGTTTCCCGACGCCGGCTCGAGCAAACAAGACAACAACAACATCGTTTGCTTATGCGTACGTACTTGCCTACATACGGCCGTGGAAAGCCGGACGAGACGCCATTTCCCCTTTCCTCCTCCCTGGTATACCTGTTCCTTCTTTGACCGCCAGAACGGGCTCATACGATAAAATCCGAGGGGATGGTTAAGCTAAGCGGCCATGACTGGCGCGGTCGAACTCTATTCCAGCCGCAACGAGAAAGCAAGGAAGCCAAGTCAAGCCAGCCCGCTACGGCGTCAGGTGGGCGTTTACGAGTGACTCTCGAGTCTCATGTCTCGACATTTCCATGCCTTTCTGTGCCTCTATGTCTCTATTTTATGTCCGCTCAGCGGATCCAGCCGTCGAGTGATTCACTCTCCCTCCGAATCTTTGCGACAGGCGTGCAGATGTAATTCTAAATGCGTCGGGAAACCAGCTGCCAAGCTGCTTCTCCGCCTCCTCCGCCTTGCTCTCCTCCCCGTTCTCCCTATCCTCCGCGCTGCCGTCCCTCCCTTCGAGCATGACCGCCAACGCTCTCGCGCACATCCAGCAAAACACCATACCGTGTCCCTGAAAACTCGCGCAAACCCACAGCCCTTCCTCGCCCGGCACCTCGCCCACGAATGGGAACCCGTCGGGGCTGAAGCCCATGATGCCCGTCCACTCGGTGCGCACCCTGCCGCCGCCCTCGCCCTCGGGGTCATCGTCGCCCCAATCGTCGCCGAAATAGCGCGGTGTCGTCTCGCGCAGGTACGCGCTGATGACGGGGTTCAGCCGCGAGTCATCCGTCGTACCGTACTCGCCTAGCCCTTGGTCGGGAGCGCGGACTAGGCCGCCGCCGATGACAATATCGCCGGCGAACTGCGTGCCTGCCGGTTTGGGGATCATGTACTCGTAGCCGGCCTCGTAGATGAAGCTGTAGGTTGTCGCGAGGCCCGCCTTTGGCATGTTGGAGCCCGGGCGGAGAGCTGTGATTTGGCCTCTCATTGGGACGATGGCCTCTTGGAAGCGTGGGTGGAGGAATGCGGTGTAGCCGTTTGTTGCGAGTATGACGCGGCGAGCCTTGATTTGTCCTTTTGGTGTCTCGACTATCCAGCGGTGGTTGTCCGTGGAGACACCATGTTGAACTTTCTTGACGCTTAGTGCCGGTGTCTCTGTGAAGAGCTTCATGCCTTTGTCGACGCATAACTCCAGCACGCCGGTGGTGAAGCGGTACCCAGAAATGCTTCCGGCTTCGTACCCGATGCCTCCATATAGCCCTTCTTTTGCAACGTGAAACCGCGTCTTCATCTCTTCAACGCCATAGAATTCGTACTTTGAGGCGTCGTCGTCTGGCATGGCTTTTCTCATCGCCTCTATGGCCTTCTTGGCAGCTTCCCACTGCGCCTCGTCGTATATCGCGTCGACGGTCTGGCAGGGTCTGCTCTCCGTCTCCTTGTCTTTGAGATGTGACGCGGCAAAGGCGTGAACCGCTCGGATGTTTGCGAGTTCGAGACGGGCAATGAGGCAAGCTGCTTCAGTCCCAAGTGTCTCGGCGTGATGAAGGAATGATCGGTAGGATGCGGCTTTGGTGTGGCCGCCATTGCGACCCGTTGCACCTGAGGTAAGGGTGCGAGCCTCAAGCATGGTGATGTCCGGGGGCGAAGCCGATCCATCTTTTGAGGAAAGGAGGAAGTGCGCTGTGGCCGCGCCAGTGATGCCACTTCCTATGATCAAAGTATCGGTCTCTGAGGGTGGTGATGGGCTGGAGTTGTAGGTTGAGAGACGGGAGAGCGGCGAGTGCCAATAGCTGGGCGTTGGGTTCGGCACCGGGAGGGTAACGGGAATGCGGGCTCTCTCGTCCATGATTGATACGGACGAACGAGTGGATTGTATTATATTATCCTCGGACTTGAGCTCAGGTTTGACTACTTCCTTGAACGAATATGAAAGCGATGAGGAAAAGACAAATGGGAACGTTGAGTTAGAATCGGGATTGGTAGCTGCGGGGGGATTTGTGAGGTTGCTTTTGACGTCAGACACGAGATAAAGAGTTCTCCAGTCTCGCACTCATGTCAATCTGCTGTGTCATGTTGTCCAACGTCCCTCATGAATTCGAGTAATGTAGATATCACAGCATCCGGGGGTTGTGGTGGACGAGAGTGCTTGTCCCTCGATAGGAATCTCGTCTCCCCCACTCAAGGCGATATGGCAAGTCAATGCGGACGATGATCGGTGCGGGGTTCCGGGCCCGGTGGTCCGCATAAACATGCCCGTTTGGGTATCGGCGCATCCCGGCTATGCCTGGACCACGGCGCAGCTCGTGTTGATCACGTCTTTGACATGACTGCGAAATTCAAATGCAAGGCTGTGTATGATTTTATAATGGAATTTGTAATGTATCCAGAAGCATCAAAACTTGAAAAGAGAGACCCTCTTGGCAGTAAGGCGCATACGAAGCCATGGGCATTCAAGTCTTTGACCATCCCAGCATTTGCATTGGGAATGCCCTCAGCTACCATGTACGACCGCACCCATTGGAAAAGTCGAGATTTCCTGCCATTTGGATTAGTTGACTAAAACGGCCGTATGGAATCGAATGTTTGGCTTTCTCTCTATTTGGCTTTCTCTCTATTACTAAAATACCTGCAAGTTCATCCTCGCTCAACACCGCGCCGTCGATTTCCTGGGGACTGGACCTACGGCCATGTGATACGCATCTCTTCTAACATAAATGTTCTGTTTAGACTGTCGTTTCAATGTCGGCGCACACTATGCACACAAGTGTAGATGCGAGGGGTCCCGATGCCCGCTCCTTCAACTCAGATCGATGGTTGAAGCCAAATGCTAAAAGCCTCGAGCAATATCAAGTCGCGTTTTCCAAAGGAGCCAGGATGTGTCTGGGGCAGAAATAAGCCACCTTAAATGCTCATCAAGTTTGCCTGAAAAGCTGACCCTCTTAGTATTGTTCCTGCTGAGATCACATGTGTGTTGACCCTTCTGTTCCGGAAATATGCGGTCACTCTTGCTTGTGACTTCCGTCCTCCTAGGAAATTCAACGTTTTAACTTTGGAATTTGAGGCGCCGGGAGTGCCCATTTACTTCACTCCTGGTCCATAGGCAATGGATTCATCGACTTCTATTTTGTATGGATTCGGTCGCTTCACCAGCAGCACTTTGCGTCACAGGAACTCACTTGAAGGCAGAGGCGACAAGCTGGAGAACCACGACATCATCAGGAGCTTGGCGGATATCATTGTTGAGGAACTGTCGATCGCGACCGTCCGTTAGCTTGGGACGGTGACCTAGAGCATAAGATGCCCTAGGGCAGCGAAGATCTCAAGGGAGGCTTTTCGCAGTTTGAGTGAAGTAGGTAATGAAGGGCTTTAGATAAATCTTCAAGTTCGGAGTCCTGGGTGGGCCGTCATTGAGTCATCAAGGTGCCTTAGCTAGCGGGAGCGAGGGCTGAAGATCGATACCTCGTTTCTAGAACATACTAGATGTACTTCAACGAGGTGGAAAGCCCATACCCAGGCTTTATTTATGAGATCTGACTCTGGTTGCGACCCACCTGAATGAGATAAGTACAACATGTTTACATCTTTGGCCTGAGGATAGACTGGTGTGTAACGTCCTACGAGAAGCTTTCTATTCTGAGAGCTAGGCTGTGTTCCTCAGAGTTGTTGGCTACCTAAATATCTTGCCGAATCATCAGAAGATGGGATCCTCATGCATGGCAAAGGGCTGGCTTACTCAAGTCGATACTGAAGACTGTCCATCTGCGCTCTGCCTCGCATATTTGGTAAGAGATAAATATGCAGCTGCCAGTCAGAGTGAAGTCTAGCGTGCAACTTCTGTCGTTCAGTGCTTGAGTATTTGGTCAGTTCATCGATGTTTGTCCATTTATTTAGGGCAAGAGGAAAGGGCACCAGGTCATTTCCCAGGGAAAGCAGTGAAGTGTCTAGCATGGTAATGAAGGAAGGACCTTAGACATATCAATGAGAGGCAGTGGTTTAGTTCCATATGATCTCCATTCATTTTGGGCAGCTGCAAGTCTATTACTTTGTTATATGCTGCTCTTGCAGGTGACCATTGTTACGTGTAGCTGAGTTCCTGCCGTAGTTGCGTGTCTCGTCGTTGGTGCCCAGTCAGCCCAGCAATGCTTTCCCAGACCATTAAATCTCAAGAAAAGGAAGGCACAGCGTCGCTTGATGACATGACAGCATTCTTTGGCTTGTGGGAAGAAATGGTGCACTTCGACCAGATCACATCATCATCTTCTGTATTTTCTGAATCAATTAGATTGTCAACTGGTACCTCCAGGTTTACCAGAATCATCACCCACTTGCTCATTAATCAAACGCAAGATTGCCACACAACTGCCCAACAATGTCCGGGGCCGACAAATCGTTCTCATACGCGGAATATCTGCACCCAGACGATGCGCATCTGGACGATCCGTTTGATCCCCAGCCCACGGACGGAGATGGTTTAGAATTCCATACGGACGAGGATATGTCTGCAGGCGATCAAGGCATGTCCGTGGAAGAGGGGCTTGCTCACCAAATGTCTCCACCGCATCCAGAAACTCCCAGCGTGGCTTTTGAAGACCTAGACCAACTATTCGACGACCATGACCAAGAGATACGAGCGAAAATAGAGGGAGCGGATGGTGCTACAACAACCGATGGTCCATCCGACAATCTACAACAGGCCACTTCGGCTAATGACACCGTCTACGATTCTGCTTCGAAAATTCAGGCTTTCACTGATGATGCACCGAGAAACACTGCGCCAAAGTCAGTCTTATCCAAGATCTCCCGTTCAAGAGAGATCGAGTCAGCAGATAGTATGTCAAGCCCAATGAGTTCAAGCAACGCCGCTCGAACTGAGGAGGCCACCGGCGCTGAGACTCCTGACAACGAGACATCTCCCGGCGAGACCACCGACATTGAAATGTCCGACATCGTTACTCCAGCCTCTTCGAGCTACAGCATCTTGGACGATGATATCATTGACGAGTCTCCTTCGAAAGACGCAAAGTCGGACAGAAGGGAAGGCGGCAGAATACGGAAGTGCCCTTGTTTGAGATGCCATGGTCAAGGCAAGCCGAAAACCAGAGAGACCATACGAGCACATCTATCAGCCGACAAGATTGAGAGACACAACATGCTAGAAAAGCCACTGGGCGAATGCAGAAGATGCCGAGGGATTGATAGGCGCAAATGCTATCAATGGCCAGAGAATTACAAGGCTTGCTCAGAGTGCACTCGGTACAAGGAGTTATGTTCATGGGAGTAAAGCAGGGGTTGGGAATGAGTCTGAAGGGTTTTGTCTTGTATCAATATCCCATAGATTATTGCTTGCGGGCGCGCTGGGTTAAGAGCTTTCTCCGTTGAGGGCTGTTTCCGTTTACCTCATTGCGTACCGAACCTGCGATGAACTCAATGATACGCCAACCATACACCCGTCCTAGCTTTCCTGAACCTATCTCCATTGTCTAGTAAGTCACTATCTGTGGCAAGTGCCATGTGTCTATATAAAAGTCAGAACAATATGTTTCCTTCCACCTTGAAAATTCCCTCACCCTTGTCCTCGATATTCTGTGAGTATTCGGGTTTTCATCCAAACCATATTGTAAGACTTCATCCCATTTGCTCTCCTATGACTGTCTGCCTAGTACCCATTTAGTCCCAACTAACACTATAACAGTCCAAACTCAGATAAATGGCTGTTTCTATCAACTTCATGCCCGTATTTGCGGAGGGAGAAGAAGAAAGGCTCAGAAACATTGCCGTAGAGGCATTGGCGGCGATGTATAAATCGAAAAAGGACGAGGAGCGCGTGGCTCGCGGCGTCGGTCTTATCAGCTCGACCTCGCCAACTCAGGATCCGCCTCCTGAACCGCTGGCTTCTGCAACGCCAGCAATCACTATAGGTAGTCGGGCTCCCTCTCGGGAAAAGTCTCCAAGTCCCGTACCCGAGCGCGTTCGTGGCTTCACTGCTATCAATAGACCCGCCATCCAACAAAGTCAAGAGGCGGGTAGCAGCAACGGTTCACGCCCAGCACCTCGGCGCCCGTTGCCAACGAGCAGGCCCAAAAAGCGACAGAATCAAGAGGTCAACGAAGAAAATACAAAAGTGCCCTCGCCGCCAGCGGTCGAACCAGCGGCTGAAGGAAAAGCCGCCCTAGTCGCGAGAAAGAAGATGCCGACGAAACCTGCAGCAGCCGCGAAGAACAACACGCGGACCAACGCTGCCACACCGGCAGACAAGAAGCCGCAGTCAAAGGCCACTAGTGGCGAAAGGGAGATATGCAAATGCTCCAAGTGCGTGGAAAGCAACCCCGAGGGGATCGAGCAGTGCGCCAAGACGAAGAAGGAGCATAGTCGCTCTGACAAGGAAAGGAATAAAGGCATGAAGCCCGCCGTTCCTTGCGATCGTTGTCTCCAAAATAACAAGGGAGATGAATGCTTCTATAGCGGAGGCAAAGTCTGCTCAAGGTGTATGAAGTTGAAGGAGCGATGCTCCTTGAATCCAGTCCCCGGGAAGGGAAGGAAGAGAGATCAGGATAAAGTGAAGCGGGGGCAGAAGAAGACTGCGGGCCCTGCCCGGGATAAGGACACGGACGAGGCGGAGGAGGTATTGGAGGTTGTGGAACCCCCGAACAAGAAGGCGCGCACGAGGGCCAGCAAGAAGACCTCTCCGGCTGCGCGACAGTCGCCTAGTAGCCCTCCTGCTCGAGACAAGACTGGCGAGCCGCCTGATTCCAGTGGTCGTGAGCGTAGCTCCAGCGACGATGGTTCTCGGACCATTGATGGGAGTCCGTCTTCAAGTGGCGCCACAGCTGGCGAGAGAGAGGAGTCGTCTTCGAGTGAACCATGCGGTTCTCCCCCCGGAAAAGGAAGAGTTCAGGACTCACAGGATTCCTAGACCTAGAACCATCTTAGGATTGGATGGTATCGGGGAGGCGGTATATGAAGATGGTATCTGAACATATTGTTCATGTAAAGTAGGACTTGTGAGATCGTTACTCGCCACGGTCCTGCAGCCGTATTTCGCACTTGTTTTCCATAGAAATCCAACACAAAAACACAGTCATATCTTGCATATCCCATATTTTATAATGACTACGTGTGCTTGTAATGAAATTTAATATGAAGCCATTTTACTCGCTGGGAATCTTGTGTGTCGCATAATACTATGTCACAGAGACGACTAACCGACGCTTTAGCCTAGAGCATGCTCGCCCTAAAGCGTCTCGGCAGTCTCGGTGAGGTGAGCTTGCTGGAGCTCTCTGCGGACGAACTGTAATAGTCGATCACCCATCGGAGAAAGGATAGAGAGGTAGTTGTCTGAAAAACTTGTAATCTTCACTTTCCCAACGAGAGTATCGGAGAAAGACTAAAGAGGTTGACAACTGCTTTCAACGCTTGATATCACATACACATATACACACGTACCGGAGAAAGGCTAGAGAGGTAGCTAAGGTCAATTTTTGTAGAAGACACCAAGCCCAGCTATCTCCGGGCCGATTTTCTTAGAATATAAGAAACAGAGTTGTGTTCGCCCGGGCAGGACAGGCATAGAAAGCTGTACATTTCTCCATCCCCGTCTGGAACTCATTGATAAGAGTCACTACACGGTAATTTTCCCTTTCTCTTCTCATATTCAGCAGTCAACCAACCAACTCATCCACTCACCAGATCTCACTGTCACCACAATATTCCACGTCGAGTATCATAACGAGACGAAGCCGACACGAAGAGAGATGGCACCGATTCTTGTTGCCACTGCCCCTGCTCAGCAGCAGCAGCAACAGGCAGAAGGTGGGCCGAGACGCTTCGAACGGACCTGGGACCCAAAGTGTCCAATAGAAGATATCATGAACACCGACATGTCGCCGGTGTTGCCCAAGCGGGAATTTAATCCGGTCATAGTTCCGGTCACGTCCCCGGCCCCGGTTGGGGGCTCACTATTACAGACACCTCCGAGTCCTGAGTTGTCGACGCCTGAGACCTCGAAAATCCCTGGGCCGTCGACGATGCCTGAGCCCTCGGTGACGCATCCGCCCCCAGCAATGCCCAGACTGAATGCCAGGGGACGAAAGCTACTCCCGGATGGCCCAATCAAGAGGCGTACGCAGGATTTGAGCACGCCTCAAAGCAGTGCACAATCCTCGATCTCGGCGCCGAAACAACTTGCGGCTTTAGTCTTGGCTCCAGCTGCAGCTGCGGCTCCAGCTCTAGCCTCAGCTGCGACTCCCGCTCCTGCGTCTGCCCAAGTTACCGCACAACCAGCGGTCGTGGCAGTCGTCAACCAGAAGTCGAAGCCAAAGAAAGAGAACGAGAAGGTACGCTGCACCTGCAGCTATTGTGTAGAGAAGTATGGTCCCAACGGCAATATGATTGCCGAGAAGACGTGGAAGGAGCACAAACGTGCCGACACGACCGCGAAAGAAGGGACGGTGCAGGATCCCAAGTGCGAAAAATGCCAGAAGCAAGAATACGTATGTATTCGGAAGGAAACTGGCCCCTGTCAAGTCTGCATGCGTATGTCAGACGTGTGTTCCTTCACTGGCCAGTCTAGGAGAAAGAGGGTGCTAGATAGGCAGGTAAAGGTGAAGAAGATGGCCAACACTGTCACTGATCCTCCTGATGATCCAGCTACTCATCAGGCGGGACAGAAGCGAGGGCCAGAGTCGTCTTTCCTAGACGTGAAAGATGACAGTCAAGTTCCTGACCTTCCTGTGGATTTCAGGCAGCAGGCAGAGCCGTCCATCTTCAAGAACAAGGTTGAGGATATCGGCGAGAGCGGCAGCCATGCGAGTGGGAGCTCGGGGTTGGGCTTGAGAAGCCGCACCCTAAGTATCTCGCCTCCTCCTGTCGTTCGGAAGAGGTCGGACGAAGTCGAGGAAAATGCGGGCGAGGACTTTGGCCCGCGGACGAAAAGACGCCGTATTGCCGACCAGACCGATTGATAGTGTCAGAGGTCTTGGTTGAGCTGACACCGCAGAGGAAAAAGCGTCAGAGAACGCGAACGCAGCCGCGAACAGTGTTGCTATACCTGACTGGCGATCAACGCTGTCTTCCTGCATCTGCTGCCATCCCTCAAAAGTAAGTATGAAAATCCTCGCCAACGCTCGAGCGATACCTTCACGCTGAACCAGATATCTAACAGGTGTTATTTGCCCGAATAGTCGACGGACGTACTCAAGCAAACAGCCACATCACTCAGGCACGGAAAGCTTGGTCCTTGTGCAGACCTTTGGACAAACCCCCACCGGTCATAGGGAGAAGACAATCAAGGATGCCATTCGAGGCTACCCGGACTTGAAGCAGCATTGTCATCGAGGTCAGTCCGATTACCAGATCAAGGCCAAGACTGAGATAGTGCCGCAGTTGCTCATTGAATCTCGTACCTTATCAACGCCTTATCCCATGAGCGCATTGAGAAGTCCGAGATGGGCTGAAGCAGGCCTGCCCACTCAGTTTCCTAAACTGTCGACAGGGGCCGGTCCGGCATCAACCAAGCGCGGTCACGATGATCGTCACGAGGCTTGAGGACCTTCAGAGAGAAGGGCGCCGTACAGCGATCGATAGTCGTACCAACGAAGAGCACATTCGAGCGACTTGTACAAGGTGAGAATCAGCATTTGCCCTGTTCCTCCTAGACTAGCAACTGATAATATCGCAGGTCATCATTACTTCGCGAACGTGGGTCGTGGCTTCATTTGTTGCGTTGGTCGATAGATGTGTGTATTGAGAGAGGAGTTCGGGGTGGCTGTGAACATTTCCTTGGTAGATGGGTTTCTTGCTTGGCACAATGTCAGTCGGTAGTGCACACGCGTGTATACTCCGTGTTTTCCATCGATGATTGTTCCTGCATTGATTTAGGTTGAGATTTGCTTGACGTATGATTGATTGCTCAAAGTAGCAATAACTCAAGCTGTATTAATAGCTATATCCTCGCATAACGAAGTTCTCCGTGGTGATGATCACGAACCCATTCTGATTTTTGCGGTTTTACTCCCTCAGCATTAGGGTCACGTTGGGCCGACATCAACATAGCGTCACTTGTGTATATCACTGCTTTTCGTTTTGAGCATAAATGAAGTTGGCACCTGGGTCGCAATTAGTCTTCTTTCCTTGACTTGAGCTATGTGCTTGGGCATCGACTCACCGACAGCAACGAGGCCATTCTCCTTGGCCCACTTCTGGACCCCGCGCCCCTCCTGGCCTCCCCAATGCTTGCGCTCCGCCGGCTTCGAGAGTTCCAGCTTCTCCTTGGTTCCGTTGGCCGGCACCCAGGCCGTGAAGACGTAACGGTGCTTGCCAGTCTTGGGCGGAGGTCCTGGCGGCTTGTACTCGATGACCTCGTCCAGATCCGCCGGCTCGATGCCGGAGGAGATGGTCGGGGAGCTGCTGACAGCGATCCAGTGGCAGAACTCGGACCAGATGGGGTTGCTACGAGTGGGCGCGTCCGGGTCGGTGAGGGTCAGGACGTATGTCGTGGCAATGACGCTGGTCATTGACGAGCCGCTGACAATGGCAACAACAGGCGCCGACTGGAGATCGGCAGGCTTCAGGGTGTTCCCGAGATCGGCGACATTGGAAGAGGACCACTCGGCCGCGACGCCGATGATGGGCTCAAAGTCGTCCAAGACGGTAGGGATGACCTTGGCTTTGTCCAGCCTGTAGTTTGCAGGTCAGCGAGCTGTCAAAGGCGCATATGAGTAGGGCGCGGAGCCGACGAGAGACACGTACTCTTCGTGGACGCGAGTCAGATCAGCAGCAGGTCTGAGGACGAATTGATCTTGGCTCGTCGGAGCAGCGGCAACAACGGTGCCGCAGACAGCCACCGCGGCCAGGAATTTGCTTGCAAGGGAGCCCGCCATTGCGGGTGACGGGTACGACGTTGCGCGTCCTCGAGACGAATTGCGATGCAGTGGATGAACACTGAATGAAACAGTTGAGATTGCGGCAGGCAGCAAAAGCCAAGCGCAAGCAAGTTTGCTGCTGTTGAATAATTGTTTGGTTGAGCGTTTCTTCTTTGCGACGATTGATGCGAAGACAAACGCGTTGAAGAATTGTGCCGTTGTTGCCGCCCCCCGCCGGCTTCGGTTTCCGCAGGGAGGGAAAAGCCGCGGGCGTCGTTTTTGGTGATGTCATGCCGCTACGCTCTGGCGTGCTTTCCCCCGCCCGGAACCCCTGCTCCGCGGCGTCAACTGCAACGGCGCACCGGTCGCGCACTAAAATGAAGTAGATGGGTCTTGCAACTTTATTTCAGCCGCTCTCACCCAACAGTCTCATTGATCTTCACGACTTTTCATGATTTGTGAAGTGATATGAAGTCTCAGTTGGTATTCCTTCTCCATTTTCATGTCGCGATAAGATTGCCCTCAATTCCTCAACTTTCATAGTCGTGATGTTGAGCAGTATGAGAACATCAGGTGAACGGCGCTTCAGACCGACGTATAAAGGCCGGTTTTCTATATCAATGCCATATCTCACCTAGTACCGCGGAATTTGAAATGGCCCAGTTGAATTCCCTCCTGGTAAGTGCCATCGTGGTTCGGTTGGCGCTACGTGATGCCCAATGCTGACAATGCCATGTTGGAAGATGGAACGCATGTGAGAACGGGCCGCTTGGTACATTCACATTGTCGATGCCATTCCCTCGGGACACACGGGCACTCGAGAAGCTCTGGCTCTCCATCATATCAGATCATAACTACACTCACAGGGAAGCTATTGCGAGGGCGGCGAGTGACGAGCCCGCGATACATTGAGTGAGCGACCCTGTCTCCTAGTTGGGAATATTTCCATGAGCTCAAGCGAGAGGCTTTCGTTGAATGTGAAAAACGCTCCTGATTAATTCATCGGAAGAGAGAGAGAGAGAGAGAATTTGAAGATGGACACGAGACGGATGGAGACATTGATACGAAGCAGCTAAACAATGAAATGTTTAACTTGCAATCATCGTCACATACCCATCCATGATTACTGACAGAAATAGAATTAGCGACAGGGACTCGTATTCTTCACTACAGATAAGTGATCAGTAACGGTGAGCGGATCAGAGTGAAGTCAGTCCGCCTGATGGCAGGCATCAGTACTATCCATGAATTAGACTAAGATTGATTGCAAAACTTCGTCTAACTCCGCACGTAAATGAGACTACCTCGCGAATTTGGAAGAAGATAGGACTCCGGTGAATCTTAGCACCTTTGTACAATTGGATTCCATTTATCCTGGCATTAAACACCCTTTCGCACCTCTCCCCCCCCCCCCCCCCCCCCCATGTTGAGGCTCGTCCTACCAAAACGAGAATAATTCTGCTGCCTGGATTCACAGCCCTGCTAGTACGCCAACGGCCTTGAGAAAAATTTGCAGTATGCAACGATTGAATCCTCTCCCCGCTATTTAAGCCTTACTTGCATGTTAATTGAAATATTGGATGAAGTAAGGTAATTGCCTCCACGTAGTGCTCGCCATCTGCTCCAAGCTGTAAATAAGGAACCGACGTGAAGGACACTCAAAAGGCCTCAAGTGCCGATGAAATGGCAGATCCTGGCCATTTAGGGGCAGATTTTCCTTTGGCAGTCTAGAAATTTGAATAGTCTGCACAAGCCAGCCGGTGAGAGCCTTGCCCGGTCTCGTTTTGCAGCCACAGTGTAACGTCGGGCGGCGGCTCAGCATCGGGCATCACGCCGCGTGTTGTAGTCTACATCATTGAACCGTATAGTGAAATTCGATTGGCTACCGCACGTAAGCTGTAGCCGGCCGTTTCTTACTGCCTGCAGGAAACGGGTGAGAATGGGGCTGGTGATGTTGGTTGTTGTATCCGTAGCTTGGCTGAGCTTGGCTCTGTAAGCGACTTTAGAAGCCAAGGTCATTAGATAGAGGCGGGCACTGGTAAAGGCTCCATGAACGGTGATCCATGATTTGATACGTTCTCGCTTCGTGTGTAGATATTACATATTGTCTGTGGATTCTCCTTTTTGTGTTTCGGCGACTAATTTGACTTGCCTTTTCCAAATGCATGCCCGCTGGACACACCGCAGTCGGGCGACAGCCAAGGTGACTCTACTTTAGCCGGGCTAGCCATGTGTCACAACAGTATTGCTTCTGTGCTCTCAGCCTCGAGGATCCCGCTTATACTCGAGAGTCCCGTGGCATCTACGTGGGTTTTCCAATTTGGGACTTTAGGGTCGCCCCTGATATACGTCGTCAGCACTGGGTAGTAGATGGTCCGTCCATGTTGTCAACTCGAACATCATCATTTGCAAAAGTTCATTCTTCAAGTACTGCTATACGCACGCTTACAGTTTTCTAGTAGAGCCACTACCCACTCGGGTGATAGAATAATCGCCCGCTTGTGGTACTCCGTTTACGGCTACCAATCAGTAATATAAAGACTAACGGAGTGATATTATACGCAAACTAAATTGCATCTGGCAGAATCTTTCGAAGACGATAACGAAAAGTCTACTTTCTGAATCCGTTGGTGCACTGACAAGATTGTAAGTTTGGCAGCTGATCGATGTTTCGCAAGTTCATCTCTCCGAAACCCAAAACGAGGGACTTCGGTATTGATGAGGCTGATTGGACGCTCCGCCAAGGCAACGCCTCCGCTGCGGGAATAGGCAGTGCATGGCGCGAAGGAACGCCCGACGACTGAGAGGCAACATGTCGCGTGGCTTCATATTCCCGAACGAAGGAACAAGGATGATGGAGATCTGCATATAGGCGGGAAAAAGTGTTGTCTCCATCAACTAGGTACATCACCCTTGCAAACCCCGGGGTGGAAAAGCTATGGCATTACGGGACAGCACAGATACACAGAGAAAAAATCAAGGAAAAGATAAAGAGAAAAGTATTGGCGGAAATGCCGATCACGTACAGAACCGAATGCCCGCGGCACGTCTGATTCAAGCAGAAGCCCGCAGCGCAGGTTGGCCTGCGCATACCCTCCACTACCACGATTACCATCTGATGAAGGAGTCCTCACGAGCCAACCAAATAATCACTGCCTGCCTTCCTGTGGGCTTGTGTCTTCGGGATGTGACCGCACCACCCCAGCATGGCGGTGGTGGCTGACCCCAGCGCTGAGCAGGCAGCCGTAACCGTTCCTAAGTGACTTTTCGCCCGATATAGTTGCAGAGAGGGTTTACAAAATCTTGTCTGCAATATCGTGTATCAGGGGGGTTTGGGGTTACTTCCCGTCCACCCCAGCTCGTCTCAACTTCTGAACTCTCTTCCCTCTTTCTTCTGACAGCTCTACTCATCCCAGATTTCTTCCCTTACTTGCTGTGGCTTTTGCAGAACCGCTTGCGTTCGCGCAACTGAAAGAGAGAGTGACAGTTGAGAGCGAGAGTGTGAGACAGAGAACATGGCTTCCGTAGCCTCATGCTCGTCCATGGCCATGGCAATATGGACATCGTTGAGTCGATGTATCCAGAGGAGGTTCTTTCGTGTTTTTGCAATCTGTTTCATCTTGTTTCTCGGCGTTACTTTTCACCTTACTCATGATACCCAACGATCAACTCACCACGAGCCGTTCAAAGCCCCGATCACGAAGCCTATCGTTCATGGAAATCCGGTGGACGGGCTTCCGGAGCCATCATACGATCTTTTACCTTTCCCGTATTCTCCTCAACCAACAGGTTCAAACAGCACGGATGACAGCATACTACCGAACCCCTGGCTGGCAGCAGTCATCTCGACGGCATCAGATGTTGAACGTCGGATGCTCATACGATCCACGTGGATGAAGATCTTTAGCGATGCCCCCTTTGACGGACGCTTCGTGGTATCGAATCCTGGGCCACAGTGGATGGAGGTTGTGGCCAACGAGAACCGCACCTTTGGAGACATGATTGTGCTGGATACTATTGCCGAGGACGACATCACTGCCAACACCATCAAGACGCTCGAGTTCTACAAGTGGCTCGTTAATCACAACGTCCAGTACGAGTTTGTGTCGAAGATGGACACCGACTTATGGCTCAACGCACGAGGATTCTGGGATCGTTTCCTGTCACCGAGACTTTCGACTGACAGTGCCAGTGGGCTCATGAAGAGCACAGTCCAGAAGACTGTCATTGGAGAGCTCTACTACTCAAAGTACTGGGATCTCGTCTTCCCGCACGGCGCCATGTACACCGTCACATGGGATATGGTCGAGTTGCTGGCGGACCTCCAGAACAAGCATCACGTGGTGACGGGCGAAGACATGGCCATAGCGACTCTCATGCTCAAGGGTCACGAGAAGGCCAATTTTGTAAACTTTAGGGGCTCAGAAAAGTTCGACTACGACAATAAAGACGCACGGCATGACGGCACGGCGTGGGCTAGAAAAAAGACGCATCCGGATGCCATCCAGCACGCGCTGGTTGGTAACGATGCCATTGCTATTCATCAACTCAAGGATGAGAGCTTATGGTTCAAGGTGGCGGACTGCTTCGACGAGCAAGGAATCAGGGACGCGCCGCCAGTGTACCACTCTGGACCGGAGACGCAGCGGCCCATGTCGATGAAGTGGGATGACTTTTGGTTCTGGATGGGGGTATCGGACCGGTACGACGCTAGATTCGACAGGATACCAGATTTTTTGTGGACAAGAGAAGCTGGGCATTGGATATGCGATGGCATATGGGACTTGGGAGAGACAAAGACGGGATATACGGGAAAGGAGAGCACCTCATAAAGAGATGCGACTATTAGATTTGTCTCAAAAGCTATTTATTAGTGATATCCCCAAAGTTCCAACCCCCAATGTGCCACCACTTCAACGGAAGATGGTTCCTGGTACGGTAATCATGTTGATGGTGACCACCTCCCCATAATTCTCGTCGCCCAATTGGAGAGAAGGGTCACCTGGTGTGACTTGGAA